CCTTACAAAGTATGGTGAGTTCCTTAGGAAAAGAAAAGCCTCCATGGAAGGTAGAGAAGTTGCAGTTATTTCTCTTTCTATTTTTAGGCTGAGAGAGATTAAGGCTCTTGGTCAGGGTCATCTGGCTGTTGAGTGGGTGGAGGAAAAAGTAAGAGCTAAGACTCGGGAAATCTAACTCCAAGGTCCCGCTCTTTTCTCTGCAGAAGGCACCAGAAGAAAGGCCTGGGGAAGCACCAGGGGGGCCTCCTCCTTCCTTGCCGGCACCACCAATGGCTCAGGCAGGCCATTAGCAGAGAAGTGCCCGCGCGCGCCCGTCTGCTGGCGGGGGAAGAGGACAGCCACGAGGGAAGAGCCGGCTCCCACTTCTCTGTGTGGCTGCTTCCATTCCAAGAAGTCAATGTGAACACACGCTCCCCCGCCCCCAGTGCGTTAGACCCGCAGCTTCCAGAGCCTTGAGGGGCAGTTTCCTCCCACGCCTCCAGCACAGGTTCCAGCTGTTGTCTGCAGGGGGAGTGGGTGGGGCTCCGGGCTGGCACTGTCTTCTCACTCACAGGTGAGGCTCTGCGCTGATCTTAGCAAAGGACCTGAAGGGGCTGTGTGCAGTGGTGGCGGTGACAGGCTCCCATTTGTCATCCTCAAAGCGCAATGGGGAGACGGCATCTCGGGAAGGCTCCTCCGACTCCAGAGCCGCTCGTTATCCAGCACTGGCCAACAGTCGGCCACACGGAGGCCAGCCGCTCGCCTCCGCTCTCGGCACTCAGTCTGAGCTGGGGCGGGACTGAGGTTGCAAGACAAAGGCACACACAGCCGGCTCGGGAGTAGGACTCAGAAACGTTCTGTCTTGCTTCGGGACCTGAACAGGTGTGGCTGGGGAGAGGTCCCTTACATTTGAGAAGGACCCAAAGTGTATGCACAATATATGCTGTTTTTTAAAAAGCAACACATCATCCCTACTTTCTTTTTATTTATTCGAAAGGCAGAGACGGATAGACATATATACAGACAGACAGACAGACAGACACACACACACACACACACGGGGCGGGGGAGAGAGAGAGAGAGAGGCAGTTCATCAGGTGATCAGGTGGGTCACCCCAGCGAATGCCCACACCAGTCAGGGTGGCCGAGGGTGAAGCCAGCAGCCAGGAACCCCATCCGGATCTCCCATGTGGTGGCAGGGACCCGAGTACTTGAGCCAGGGTGCCTGCTGACAGGAAGCTGCATTGGGAACAGAGCCAGGACTTGAACCCAGGGCCCCTGTGGCGTCGGACGAGGGCATCCCAAGCAGCGTCCTAACTGCTGCGCCAAGCGTTCACCCCCTCCTTGTGGGCAGAGGGCGATGGAGGACGGCAGCGGCGGTGGAAGGGGTGGGGAAGGAGGTGTTCCAGCTGGAGGAGGCAGGGCTCGGGCAGGGGCACGCGGGCGGGAACGCGGGCACACTTGAGAAACACTGAGTAATTCAGCTGGACTGGAGCATGAGGTAGTGGAAAAAAGGACTGGGAAGGTAGACTGGAGCCCTATCACGGAGGCCCTTACATTCCAAGCTAAGGAATTTGCACTTCATTTAGGAGGCCACAGGGAACCTCCACATTAGAAGTCTGCTTTCGGAGGGAGACTCCAGCCGCTGTGTGTGCAGGCCTCCAGCCGCTGTGTGTGCAGGCCGGACGCCCTGAGGTCCCAGTAGTTCGACTGCTGGGGAACGAAGCTGGCCTCCCCGGGATGGCACTCCTGGCAAGTGGAAGGCCCAGAGAGAGGCATTCTGCCTTCATTCCAGGACAGAGGAGGCAGAGGGGAACCTCTGGTGCCCGCAGCCTCCTGGAGAAGTTCCCCTAGGCAGGGACCTGCACCCACTCTCGTCCAGGTAGAGCACTCGGGGATCCACAGAAGGCGGCTTTGAGAAGCGGCCCAGCACTTTCCCACAGGGAGGAGAGTGTCGCTCCCGGCTCTCCTCTGCCCCACCTTCAGACTGCACTGCTAGCAAGGAGCACCTGGGATGCGTAGCTGGCACCTGATCTGAGGACTTGCCAGTGGCCAACCAAGAGGCAAGCGACACCTGCTGAACACAAAGCATCTGGGTCCCTGCCCCTTGTCCACCTTCTAACCCAGAGGGGTAGCGTGAGAGGCCGGAAGCACGGGTTGACCCCTTGGACGGAGGGTCCGGGAAGCCCTGGGATCCCGGGCTAATTCTGATGTCCAGACTCCCAACCCCTACCTCTTAGCTTTGCTTAATTGGGTTACAGGAATTAGCCTTTAGAGACAGAAAAGGCAAGAGACCACATTCTCCTCACTGCCGCCCCTCTAAAGAAGAGGTCAAGTGAGGTCATCCCTGCTTGACCCCGCGAGGATGGCCAAGCAATGAAAATGGCTTCTTGGGGATTGCAATGAGGCTGCAAGGTTGAGGGCGGACAGGAAGTGACAGTGCAAGCGGGACCAAGGCCGGCGCGTGAATGGATTTCAGAGGTCAGGGAGCGCTCAGAGTCCGAGAGACGCAGTGAGAAGCCATCTTTTGCTGGTGTCAGAGGTAACGATCAGGAAGCTTGATAAGAGCGTGTGTGGGTGAGAGCGTGGGAAACAGACCCTCGCAGGCCTGTGGGCGGTTTCTGTGCGAGGTGATTTACAATATCGGTCAACGCTAATAAATGTTTGCAGTGGAGCAGAAATGCACGTGCACAAAAGTGACCCAAGCAGGGGCCGGTGCCGTGGCTCACTTGGCTAATCCTCCGCCTGCGGCGCCGGCATCCTATATGGGCGCCGGTTCTAGTCCTGGCTGTTCCTCTTCCAGTCCAGCTCTCTGCTGTGGCCCGGGAGGGCAGTGGAGGATGGCTCAAGTGCTCGGGCCTCCCGTGTGGGAGACCAGGAGGAAGCACCTGGCTCCTGGCTTCAGATGCATAGTTCTGGCCGTGGTGGCCATTTGGGAGGTGAACCGGCGGAGGGAAGTCCTTTTTCTCTGTCTCTCTCTCACTAACTCTGTCAAATGAAAAACAAATGACCCAAGTGGACTGTATGTATTACAACTTTCCGTATAACTGCACAAGACAGAAAGCAGTGGGGGCTGGGAAAATAGCTTCTGGTCTATCCATTGAGTGGAAAATCATGGCTCACCTGCAGGATGCATTACCTTGAAAGTTAGGGTACAAGGTGTGTATGCTATGTTACCAGTGTGTGAGGAACAGCTCTGTATACTAGCACCTGTGGGGAAGCTGCATGTGCGCTTATATATGTGTCATTACCTCCAGAAGGAAAACCAGACGAGTCCCCCGGGGAAGGGGCGCTGGGAGCTGGGGAGCAGGTACATTGTACGCTCATTCCCACATTTTCCATTGTATGCTGGGTACAAATAGTACTTGCTAACAAACAAACAAACAAACAAAACCACAAATGAAAAAGAAGAGAAGTCTGAACCTGTGTGTTTCCTCCCAGAGGGGCTGGGGGGTGGCAGCGGTGCCCTCCCGGTGCGATGGGCTACAGCACCCCCTGCTGCCACGAGCAGGGACTGCGCAGTGGATGCAGGGGGACGGAGGCTTGGGTCAGGGCTGCTGTGTGGCGTCCGAGGTGTCATGGAAGGGGCACTGGGAATGGGCAGCCCTGGGTTTGCGTACTGACTGCCCTAGCCTGCTGCACGCCCCTGGACATAAGACCCTCCCTGTGAGTCTCTGTTCTTGCCCCATAAATTGGGCTAATAATGCTTACCCCTAGGGTTGTTGCAAAGATCAAATAGGGTACAGTGTTTTAGAATTGCAAAGCACTAGTAAAATACTAAGGGGTTATTTTTCACTAGATCTCTCATTTTATGAGGTAGTGAGAGGCAGCGTGGGGCAGCGGTTAGGACAGGAACTCCGCAGCTGTGCCCGGCTGAAGCCCAACTCCTCCTCCCGCCATCTAGGGGACCTGGGAGAAATTACTCCATGTGGAGACCTTTGTTCTTCATCTGGGAAGCAGGGTTAGCAACAGCATCCTCATAGGGTCCTTGTGAGGAATAAGTGAATCAATACGTCCAAAGCACTCCAGTGTCTGGCACACAGCAGGTACCATGTGAACATCTGCTCCTACTGATTTCCTTTAGTATATGCAAAGCTTACGGGCCTTACGTAGGTGCTAGACATGTGCCAGCAAGCAGCACCATTTTACAGGCGAAGAAACTGAGGCCCGGGGCTGCTTGACACACCCACACCCCCCATCCCAGCCCCTGGGTCTGCTGCTGGGCTCTGGCTCCTGACTCCAGCTTCCTGATAACACAGACCCGGGGAGGCAGCGGTGACGGCTTAAGGAGTTAGGTCCCTGCTACCTCCATGGGAGGCCTGGACTGAGTTCCCAGCGGCCACTGTGGTCATTTGTGGAGTGAACCAGTGAATGGATGTTCTCTCTCTCTCTTCTTTCTCTTTGTATGTGTGTGTATCTCTAACTTTCAAATAAATAAAAGCCAGCATTTACAGGGGGGCATTTGGTAAAGCAGTTAAGTTACTGCTTGGGACACCCATAATCCATATTGGAGTGTCTGGTTCCAGTCTCAGCTACTTTTCCTGCTAAAGCTCACCCTGGGGGGCAGCAGATGACTGCTTAAGTACTTGGGTCTCTGCCACCCATGTGGGAGACTCAGGTGAAGTTCCTGGTTCCTGGCTCCTGGCTTTTGCCTGACCTAGCCCTGGCTGTTGTGGGCATTTTGGGAGTGAACCAGCAGATGGAGGATCTCTCTTTGTCTATCAAATAAAATGAAAATAAATATTTTTTTTAATTTAAAAATTATCCTTAAAAAACAATCAGAGCAGTTGAGGCTTGGAGAAGGGACATGACCTGTGGGTACAGTAGTGCCCCGGTACTGGTGCGGGGCCCATTCCAGGATGGCCTGCCAATGCCTGAGACCACACATGGTGGGGGCCTTATATAAACCAGGATTTTTTCCTATACAAACCTATGATAAAATTTAATTTATAAATTAATCACAGCAAAAGATTAAAACAGTAACTAATAATAAAATAGACAATTATAACAATATAGCATAATAAAAGTTTTTAAAAACTTATGAATCATTTATTCTGGAATTTTCCATGTAGTATTTTGAAACCACAGTTGACCACAGATGTGCCCCTCAGATACTATGTTAAGAACTTTGGCTTTGACCCTAAGTGCAGTGGGAAACCATTGAAGGCTTTTACCTGGAGGAGTGACACACTTCAGCTGGTGTGTGAGAAAGAGCATTCTGGGCTGCTGTGGGTGACAGGACGGAGGTGGCCAAGGGCAGAGACCGAGGCAAACTGCAGCCTCCTCAGAGGGCTTGAGCTGGGGTGGCAGGGAGACAGAGGAGTTCCTAGAAGTACATTTTGGGAGCAGAAAGGTGAGGTGCTGATGACACACTGATATGAGGGGGTAAGGAGAGTCTGTAATCAGGGTCGACTCTGAGGTCAAGAAATATCATTTCTGAGATTGGAAATAGGGGAGGAAGAGCAAACTGGGGCGGTGATGGGTGGATCAGGAGTTCAGCTTAAGGTAATGTAGGCCAAGAGAAGTCTAATATACATGGGCCTTAAGAATATCCAATCCCATTATAAAAAAGATATACAAATTTGTAGTTTGAAAAACATAAGTGAAACATTTTAAGATGTTTAAGCAAAATACTTGTTAGATGTAGTCAGAAGTCGTGGGGTGTGTTGAAGAGTTGGCAGGCAGAATGTGCGTGTGCTTTGTTGAACTCAAGAAAGCTTGGCTGGCATTCTTCCTGCGGGTCATTGGCCGCAGCAGAGGAACACAGGTCAGGAGAGACGGGCAGCGTGGGCAGGACACTTGCAGAGTGAAGGCAGAGTGAAGGCAGGCTGCCAGGCATGTGGTCATCGCATCCTCTTAGCTCGCCACTTGGGAGCTCGGCATCAGGAACACACGATGACGGGGAGGCAGGGCAGAGCCACCCCGGAACACGGTACCCCACAGGTACGCGTAGTTTGGTGTGTCGGCTGTAAGTCAGTACAAAATTGAGGAATAACAAGAACATAAGTCTTTTTTTTTTTTTAACCAACCTGATTAAAAAAAAAATACCAGGGCAAGCATTTAAGCTAATGGTTAAGATACCAGTTAAGACACCCATGTTTCTTATCAGAGCACTTGGGTTCCTTATCTGCCTCCAGCTCCTGACTCCAGCTTCCTGCTAATGCAGACCCTGGGAGGCAGCAGTGACGGCTCAAGTGGTTGAGTTCCTGCCACCCAAGGGCAGACCTGGATGGAGGTTCAGGTTGGTCCAGCCCCAGCTGTCGTAGGCATTGAGGAGTAAACCAACAGATGGTATCCGTCTCTCTCTCTCTCTCTCTCTCTGACTTTGTGCCTCTCAACTAAATAATTTTTTTAAAAAAGGACAAAGATTTTAACAAAATCTCACCAAAGAAGATGGACAGGTTGAAAATAAGCAGATGAAAAGATGCTCCAGGCCGGCGCCGCGGCTCACTAGGCTAATCCTCCACCTCGCGGCGCCGGCACACCGGGTTCTAGTCCCGGTCGGGGCGCCGGATTCTGTCCCGGTTGCCCCTCTTCCAGGCCAGCTCTCTGCTGTGGCCCGGGAGTGCAGTGGAGGATGACCCAAGTGCTTGGGCCCTGCACCCCATGGGAGACCAGGAGAAGCACCTGGCTCCTGCCATCGGATCAGCGTGGTGCGCCGGCTGCGGCGGTCATTGGAGGGTGAACCAACGGCAAAGGAAGACCTTTCTCTCTGTCTCTCTCTCACTATCCACTCTGCCTGTCAAAAAAAAAAAAAAAAAAAATTAAATTAAAAAAAAAAAAGGTGCTCCACCAGAGAAACTCGGATTGAAACGCCACTGGAATCCCACTACACATGGATCAGCGTAGCTTCTGTCCAGGCCGCGGACAACACCAGTGCTGGCGGGGATGTGGAACAATGGAACTCTCACTGCTCGTGAGAACACAAGATGGCATGGCTACTTTGGAAGACACAAAGCTCGATCTACTCCTATCATACAAATCAGCAGTCACATACTTACATACTTTGGTACCCACCCGGGAGCTGAAGACTTACGTCCACACAAAAACGTGCAGGTGGAGTGCACAGCGTCTTTGTTCATAACTACCCAGACTTGGAAGCAAACAAGACGTCCTTCAGTAAGTTACTCCACTGTGGTCCGTGCAGACAATGCTAAGAAGAAACGAGCTATCAGGCCCTGAAAGACATGGAGGAACATTAAATGCACACTACTGAGGGGGAAAAACACCAATCTGACTCCAACCGTGATCGTCTGGAAAAGCCGGAACTGTGGAGAGAGCAGAAAGAGCAACAGCTGCAGGGGACAGCAGGGAGGAAGGAGGAACGGGTGGAGCACAAAGGGTTTCTAGGGCAGGGAAAATACTCTTCATGAGGAGAACATTTGTCCAGATCCCAAAGTACAACGCCCAGAGCGGAGGCGGTGAGCTTTGGCTGATAACGGGGTTCAGCTCTGGTGGGGAATGCTGATGACGGGAGAGGCTACACGTGCAGGGGGCAGGCAGCGTGTGGGACTGACTGTAGCTCCCTCTCAGTTTCGCTGTGAACCTAAAACTGCTCTTAAAGATGAACTCGTTTGGTGCCGGCGTTGCGGCGCAGCAGGCCCAGCCACCGCTTGCAACACTGGCATCCCGTGTGGGAGCGCGGGTTCGAGTCCTGGCTGCTCTGCCTCTGACCCAGCTCCCTGCCAGTGCACCTGCACAGGCAGTGGATGACGCCCAGGGCTTAGACACCCACATTGGAGGCCCAAATGGAGCTCCAGGCTCCTGGCTCTGGCCTGGCCCCACCCCGGCCCTTGTGGCCGTTTGGGGAGTGAACCAGTGGATGGAAGACCTCTTTTTCTCTTTGTCTCTCCCTCGCTGTCACTCCACCTATTCAGATAAATAAATCTCAAAAACAGACAGGTAAATGAAATCTTTCTTTAAAGTTATATGAACTACAGGCTGGGTCTGAGCTCCAGTTTTGCCCTGAGCTGTGCTGCCTCAGGCGAGCGACTGTCTCTGGTCCTCATTTCAGTCTGGAAAATGGGGACTTGGGCTCAGTGCCCCCTACACCTCCTCAGCGTATGGTCCTCCAGCGGTCACCACCCAGGGCTGGACGTCCTCCACCCTCACCCCCACCCAACCCCCACAGCCATGGGTTTCCAGCACACAAGGGAAAATGTGTTATTGACTGAATGTGACCAAGAAGGCCAGGCTGACAAGGGGTCACTAAATACAAACAGTTAGTGATGTTTCATCTGAAATCCGCTTCAAGGAAAATCTTGGAGCCATTTTCTAGATTGTTCGTCCATTTCATTGTGTGCGGTCATCACCACCTGCTACCTCACCCAAATCTTCATGCTTCGGCTAATTGATGGTCAGCGCTTCAGTCGTCCATAGAAGATTGCAATCACGGTGTCACGGAGACCTTGCATACAGGTAGGTAAGATGACCAGCACTCCCCCTTAACAGGTAAGGAAATAGGCGCGGGCCAAGCGCTTGGTCCGGGTAGCATTTGCTGCGTTGTGAACCCATGCCTCCCAATCCCATGTCCGGGGCCTCTGTCCTCACCCATCCAGGGCCACACCATGACCAGGGTGGCCTGTCTTTCTTCAGTGGGAGGGCGAGTTTGGGCCGGGTGTGCCCACTGATTAGGATTTGCTGAAGCGTCCCAGTCCTGCGCCCATACTTAAAAGCCCATCTGCTTTGTGTCCTGTGTATTTTTCTTTCCGTTTTAAAATGTGAATCTCCTTTAAGAGAAAGCCAATCCGTGTGTTTCTGATTCTTTGAAACTTACTTCCTCCTAGCAGAGCTTTCTGACGTCCTGAGCTTCACACGTTTTCTAGAAGACAGGAAACAGGGAGAGGCCGAGCCCTCACCAGGATTCTCCGCGTCGCCCGTCCTCACCACGGAGGCAGAGCCTGGCTTCACTTCCTTATTCCTGCGGCAGCTCCGGTGAAGGTGACAGTTCTAACACTTGGCCCAGCCAGCACGGGACCCCACGCAGCACCCAGAACACCACGAAGCAAGGAACGAACTTGCTCCGTGGAAGCTTGACCAAGGCGGGCCGTCAGGCCAAGTGTGAGAGCAGAGCCACGGCGCCGGCGCAGCTGCCGAGCCCCCAGTCCTGTACAGGGCTCCACGCTCCCTCTAGGCCAACGTGACCTGGGCTAACACGATGTGTGGCCCTGCCTCAAGAGAATGTGTGGAGCCAACATGGCCTGGTCGAAGGCACTGTGTAGTCAGGCACACTGTGTTCAAAGATTGGCTCCAACCAGTAAGCCCAGGGACTTTGAGGCGAATAATTTTTTTATTTGATAGGTAGAGTTATAGACAGTGGGAGAGAGACAGAGAGAAAGGTCTTCCTTCCATTAGTTCACCCCCAAAATGGCTGCTACGGCTGGTGCTGCGCTGACCCAAAGCCAGGAGCCAGGTGCTTCCTCCTGGTCTCCCACGTGGGTGCAGGGGCCCAAGCACTTGGGCCATCCTCCACTGCCCTCCCCGGCCACAGCAGAGAGCTGGACTGGAAGAGGAGCAACCAGGACTAGAACCCGGTGCCCATATGGGATGCCGGCGCTGCAAGGCGGAGGATTAACCAAGTGAGACACGGCGCCGGCCCCTAGGCAAATAATTTAATCTCTCTGAGTACCATTAGTAAGGCTCCCCCGGGCATTGTGAGGATTCAGTGAGCCGATGTGTGTGGCATGACCGCTGATAGGCATTTGGCAATGGCAGTTAGCGGTACTGTCTTACCCGAAAACAAAGTACTGTGTGTTGAATTCTCTTACTTATTTCAATCATAGGCCAAGCAGGCTCCTGACACCTTGCTCAGTGCAATGGAGGAAGTCCTGATGCAATCAGCCAACAATAATTTAATGAGAATGTGATGCTATAAAGCCAGCGCTAGAGCTACGTGGGGTGTCCTGGGGAAAAGAGAAAGAGGGGCAGGCACTTGGTGCAGTGGCTATGGCGCTGCAGCCCATATTGGAGTGCTGGGTTCCAGGCCCAGCTCCACTTCTGATTCCAAGCTCCTTGCTAATGCGCACCTGGGGAGGCGGCAATCCAAGCAGTTGAGTCTGCCACCCACAGGAGAGACATAGATTGAGTCCCTGGCTCCTGGCTTCAACCTGGCCCAGTCCTAGGCAGTGAACCAACAGATGGAAGATTTCTCTTTCTCTCTCTTCCTCTTCTTCTCTCTGTCACTCTGCCTTTCAAATAAATAAATAAGTAAATAAAACTTTAAAAAACTGGAGAGAGTGAGATGGGGGAAAACTGCTTAGAGAGGCCAGTGCTGTGGCGTAGTGGACTAAGCCTCTCCCTGTGTCACCAGCTTCCCGTATGGGCACCGGGTGGTGTCCCAGCTGCTCCGCTTCCAGTTCAGCTCTCTGCTATGGCCTGGCAAAGCAGTAGAAGATGGCTCAAGTCCTTGGGCCCCTGCACCCACGTGGGAGACCAGGAAGGAGCTGGATCCTGGCTTCAGATTAGTCCAGTTGCAGCTGTTGGGGCCAATTAGGGAGTAAACCAGTGGATGAAAGACCTTTGTCTCTGTCTCTCCCTCTCTCTGTATGTAACTCTGCCTATTACTGCTTAGTGAGTATGAAGTTTACTTTTGGGGTGATGGCAATGTTCTGGTGATGGCTGCACGACACTGTGAATGTAGTAAGTGCCACCGAATTGTTCACACTAAAATGGTTAACTTGGGGTGGGTGTTTAGCACATCAGTTGTAACTCAAGTTGGGACCCACATCCCATATTGCAGTGCCTGGGTTCAAGGTTCAGCTCTGCTCCCAGTTGCGCGTCTCACTAATATGCACCTTGGGAGGCAGCAGGTGTGTGGCAACAGCCAACTACCTGTGCCATCACCTGCTACCATCGAAGGTGTGCACGGTGAGAAGCCTGACTCGGGAGTGGGGCCAGGACTTAAATACAGGCAGTCTGATACGGGATATGTGCATCCCAAGCTGTATCTTAACTGCTGTATTAAATGCTCACCCCAAATTTTTAAAAATGGTTAATTTTATGCTATATCAGTCTCATCTGAATTTAAAAAAATGTGGAGATTAAAAAATAATATTTTAAAAAGAGTGGTCCTACCAGATTAGAAATATGTTTCTTAAATACTTGAAAGGCAGAGCAATAGAGAGAGAGAGAAGAGAGAGAGAGAGAGAGAGAGAGACCAGTTTCTATCTGCTGCTTCCTTCCTAAACACCTGCAACAGCCAAGGCTGGGCCAGGCTGAGGCCAGGAGCTCGGAAACCCACGTGGGTGACCGAGGCCGAGCCCTTGAGCCATCATCTGCTGCCCCCCAGCAGTAGGAAGTTGGACTGAAGTGCAGGAGCTAGGACTCCAACAGGCGCCCAGATATGGAATTTGGGCATCCCTGGGTGGCTTACCCTGCTGCACCACAATGCCTGCCCCAGAAATATTCTTAAAATTTATTTGAGAGAGAGAGAGAGAGAGAGATGTTCTATCCACTGGTTCATTTCCTGAATGCCACAACAGCCAGGGCTGGGCCAGTTTGAAGTCAGGAGCCCCAGCTCAATCTGGGTCTCCCGCATGGGTGTAGGTACCCAAGCACTTGACCCGTTTCCTGCTGCTTCCTGGGGTGCACGTTGGCAGGCAGTTGGATCAGAAGGAAGTCAGGACTCAAATCCAAGCACTCTGACAGGGGATACGGCATCCCAAGCAGCATCTAACCACTGTGCCAAATGCCTGTCCAGAAGTGCTATCGGCACAGAAATAGACATGAGATCAAGGGAACGGTGTGGAGTCCAGAAGTGGATTCAAGCACGTGGGGGAATTTAGTACACGCTGGACAACAGCTAAAATCCGAGGGCAGTGAGAGAGTGAACAGTAAGTGCTGCTGGAGCAGCTGCTTGTTTGGGGGAAATGAAGACCCGTACCTCACTGTTTATGCGCAAGTGAGTTCCAGGTGGGTTAGAGACTGCAATGATGAGGGTTCTATATGGGAACAGGCAGCACTTGGAGCAGTCCTGGGATGAAGCAGGAGTGTCCTAAGTTTGACACGAAACCCTGGGACCAACAAGGCAAAGACTGATCAATCTGAGCACACAAACTAACACAACTTCTGCATGTTCTGTACGGCAAAAATGATCATAAAAAAGGTTGAAAGGCAACTGAGAAATTGGGAAAATACTTGAAACTCTTATGAGAGATAACTAATAGCTCTAATATATGAGAATGAGGGATTTTTCAATAATTAAAATGAACATAGAAACAGATAATTCATAGAATGGTCAATATACATGTTAAATATGTTTGAATTATTAATCAAATACAAATAAAACCAATAATGAGATTCTATTCACTGCTTGCTAAATTGATAAGAAAAAAAAGTATTGATACCCAGACAACAGACTCTCTTTGCACTTCTGGTGAAGTAAAGAACGTGTAAATTTCCTAGAGGACAACTGTGTCGCATCTATCAATGTGTCAATCCAGAAATCCCACTGGTTTGGCTTCATTACTGAGAGTTAACAAGACAAAAATAATAGGAGAGGGGCCGGCGCTGTGGTGTAGTGGGTAAAGCTGCCACCTGTGGCACTGGCATCCCATATGGGTACCGGTTCAGGTCCCAGCTGCTCCACTTCCAATCCAGCTCCCTGCTAATGTCCCTGGGAAAGCAGTGGAAGATGGCTCAAGTGCTTAGGCCCCAGCACCCACGTAGGAGACCTGGAAGAGCTCCTGGCTCCTGGCTTTGGCCTGGCCCAGCCCTGGCTGTTGCAGCCAATTTGTGGGGTGAACCAGAGGATGGAAGATCTCTGTCTGTCTGTCTCTCCCTGTAACTCTACCTTTCAAATAAATAAATATTTTAAAAATATTAAAATAGGTAGAAATTACAGGAAAAACCCTAAATGTTAATAAGTAGGCCACTGAATCATATTACTGCAATAGAGTGTGTCATTTAAAAGGCAATATACTTTGCTATATGTACCATGATATATTATGTTTGGTTGAAAAAAGTAAGTTGTAGGGGCTGGTGCTGTGGTGCAGTGAGCAAAGCCTCTCCCTGCAGTGCTGGCATCCCATATGGACACTGGTTCAAGTCCTGGCTGCTCCACTTCCAATCCAGCTCTCTGCTATGGCCTGGGAAAGCAGTAGAAGATGGCCCAAGCCCTTGGGCCCCTGCACCTGCGTGGGAGACCCGGAGGAAGCTCCTGGCTTCAGATCGCCCCAGCTCCAGCTGTTATGGCCATTTGGGAGTGAACCAGTGGATGGAAGACTCTCTCTCTCTCTGTAACTCTGCCTTTCAAATAAATAAATCTTTAAAAAAAAAGAAGAAGAAAATAAGTTGTAGAATCCCAGGACATTGTACTGACTCTATTTTTGCAAAAGAAGTAAAATAAAAAATAAAAATATTTATTTTTTAAGATTTATTTATTTTTATTTGAGAGGTAGAGTTACAGACAGTGAGAGGGAGAGACAGACAGGAAGGTCTTCCTTCCATTGGTTCACCCCCCCCCCCCCCAAATGGCCTCAACAGCTAGAGCTGTGCTGATCCAAAGCCAGGAGCCAGCTGCTTCTTCCTGGTCTCCTATGCGGGTGCAGGGGCACAAGGACTTGGACCATCTTCTACCACTTTCCCAGGCCACAGCAGAGAGCTGGATGGGAAGAGGAGCAGCCAGGATTAGAACCGGCGCCCATATGGGATGCCAGTGCCGCAGGTGGAGGATTAACCTACTGCGCAACAGTGTCGGCCCCAAATAAAAATATTTTAAAAACCCAACTAACTATTGCTTACTTTTCATTGACTCAAAAGTAAAAGGAGGCTGGAAGGATACACACCAAACTCTTCATGGTGGGTATTCCTGGAAGGGGGCGGGGAAGATGGGAGAGAGAAAAGCTTGCATTCTCTTTTGTACAGTTCTGCACTCTCTTAAATGTTTTACAGCAAGCATGAATCACTTTTATAATCAAATAAAACAATTACATTTAAGGATTAATTATAAGTTATAGAGCATTCGAATAAGGAAATACTTCAAAAATCATCACAAAGGAGATGTGTGTGTGTGTGAGTGCGTTGTGTAATAACTTAGAGAGATTTCTGAAGGAATTAGCTGCAGACAGTCAGCTCCATATCACAATGTCTCCTTCATCTCTTTTACAGCGTTTGCCAGAGACTCTCATTACCAGAAGCCCCAAAGGGGTGAAGTTTTATAATCATTCTAAATGCAATAAAACACACACTCATGAGGCCACACATAAATGGGATAGGGTATGAGCTCACCTCCATAAACTATGAATTGTAATTTTATAATTGTGAAGAGAGAAATGAAAAGTAAAAGTGATCTTTGAGCACCACCTCATGGAGGTATCCACCACTACCATGCTAGGTTGCGCACCAGCATTTCTATTTGTGATGTGAGGAGGAAAATTAGCGCGGGCTCAGCTTTCTCTTATGGTGTGTGTGTGTGTGTGTGCGCGTACACTTTGATGAAGGGACTTAAAAAAGTTCAAGGAAACCAGATGTTATGAAGCAACTGCATGGCTTGCAAATTTTTTGTACCAAAAGAAGCGTATTCTTTTTTTTTTTTTTTTTTAAGATTTATCTATTCATTTGAAAGATGGAGTTACAGAGAGAGAAGAAGGAGAAGGAGGAGGAGGAGGAGGGGAGAAAGAGAGAGAGAGAGAGATCTTCCATCCACTGGCTCACTCCCCAAATGGCCACAAAGAATGGAGCTGGGCAAGGCCAAAGCCAGGAACCAGGAGCTCCTTTCTGGTCTCCCTCACGGGTGCAGGGGCTCAAGCACCTGGTCCACCCTCTGCTGCTTTCCCAGGGCATAGCAGAAAGCTGGAGTGGAAGTGTCGTAGCCGAGACTTGAACTGGCGCCCATATAGTTTGCAGGTGCTGTGGGTGGCAGCTTACCCTGCTATGCCACAGTGTTGACCTCCAAGCCTATCTTTTAATTCAATTTTCCATGAAGTTTTTGAAGTCCCTGCATAGATACAGAGGTGATGACAGACTTTTTGACAGTATGGTGGGGTTTCTAGGGTTTTATTCACTTTTTCCTTTAAGCTTTTTTATAATGCTTAACTTCTCTACAACAGGCAGTGTTATCTTTGTAAACTGGAAAAACATGCTCAAGAAAGTGGAAATGGGGCAGGTGTCGTGGTACAGTGTGTTACAGCTGCCACTTACACCTGGGTCAAGTCTCCGCTACTTTGTCCTTCTGGCCCAGCAGGGAGCTGGATCAGAAGTGGAGCAGCCAGGACTTGAACTGGCACCCAAACGGGATGTCAGCACTGCAGACGGCAGCTTAACCCCTGCACCACAGCGTCGGTCCCTTGTAGTTTCAACTTATGAGTATATTGCTCACCATTGGTCCATACCATCTCGAAAAGCATGATTTGAGGGCAGGCGTGGCAGCACAGTGCGTTAAGCTACCACTCGGGATATCGACATCCCATATCACAGGACCTGGGATAGAGTCCCACCTCCGCTTCTGATCCAGCTTCCCTATCGTGCGGACCCGGAGAGGCAGTGGGTGATGGCTCCAGTATGTGGTCCCTACCGCCTATGTGGGAGACTCTGAGCTTCTGGCTTCTGCCTGGCCCAACCCTGGCTATGGCAGGCATTTGAAGAGTCAATCAGAGGATAGACTTCTCTCTCTCTCTCTCTTCCTGTTGTTCTGCCTTAAACAAGAAACAAACAAAAAAGAGTATGACCTTAACAACATAAAGAAAAGTGAGAGACTCCACTCTTACACTGTCTCCATCTATGAAGTCTTTAAGTCTATCTTCCATCTCTATTCCATCAGGGAACTACACAGTCAGGGTTGCTTAAAAATCCATTTTATAACATAGCTTTTACGAATTAGAATTATGGCTAAGAGGGCAGGCATTTGTCATGGTGGTTAAGATGTCATTTGGGACGCCCAGGACGCCCACATCTTGGATCTGAGTGCTGGGTTCAAGTTCTAGCTCCACTTCTGCTTCTAGTTTCCTGCTAACGTGCACCCCGGGAAGTAGCAGGAGTGACTCAAGTAGTCGGGTTACTGCCACCCGTGTAGGAGTCCTGGATTAAGTTCTCAGCTTTTGACTTCAGCTTGGCCCAGCCCCAGCCATTGTAGGCATGTGGGAGTGAGCCAGCAGATGGAAGGTATCTCTCTGTCTCTGTCTCTGTCTCTGTCTGTCTGTCTCTCTCTCTCTCTCTCTCTGTTTGCCTTTAAAATAAATAAAAATAAACAAATCTATAAAAAATAATTTTGGCTACATAGTTACCTGGACTATGCGAAGAGATCCATCCACTCATGATCCATCTCTCTCAGGTGCAAGGTTGTAGGAAACCAGGATTGTCTGTCTTTCAGATGCAGAAGGTGGAAGACAGTCTCATGACAGGCGAGAGGCTACCAGGTCTTGTGTTTCTTCTTTTGTTTCCAACCAGAATCTTGCTGCATAATTGGAATAATTATTTAAAATTAAATTAAATTAAATTAAAAGTACTGGGATTGAAATTTTCACTACTAGATAAGCAAGTTCCAACAGGCTATTCTCTACCTTTTCATATTTAGACCTGAAGAAGTAAAATTATGTAACACTGGCCGGCACTGCGGCTCACTAGGCTAATCCTCCACCTCGCGGCGCCGGCACACCGGGTTCTAGTCCCAGTCGGGGCGCCGGATTCTGTCCCGGTTGCCCCTCTTCCAGGCCAGCTCTCTGCTGTGGCCAGGGAGTGCAGTGGAGGATGGCCCAGGTGCTTGGGCCCTGCACCCCATGGGAGACCAGGAGAAGCACCTGGCTTCTGCCATCGGATCAGCGCGGCGCGCCGGCCGCGGCGGCCATTGGAGGGTGAACCAACGGCAAAGTAAGACCTTTCTCTCTGTCTCTCTCTCTCACTATCCACTCTGCCTGTCAAAAAAAAAAATATATGTAACACTTTATCTTTTGAATTTGAGGATGATATTTAGTGAAACAAAATATTTCTATAAGCGTAGGCTGATTTGTGTTGCTATAATCCACACTCTATAATATAGTCACACTTCAAACAGCTGTGGAAAAGACTGGTTGGCATTATTAGGACCTAGTGAAGAGTGGTGACATTAATGGAAAAGTTCTGATTCTCTCAGCCAAGTGACCACTGGGGGAAAAATCCATTGTTTGAAATCGGGTAGACATTCACGGGGGAGGTGGAAGACGGGGTCCTGGTCCTGATGCTGCTGTTCACAACCGTGCGATGATGGAAAAGACAACCTGCTTTTGAGCCTTTGAGTGGAAGGGGAGTAGCAACTTTTCCGCACAAAGACCAGACTGGACCAGATCATCTCAAACGTCCTTGTCAAGGCTCTTCCCAGAGATTTGAGAGATTTGAGAGAGTCGAATTAATGTTTGTACTGTAATAATACAATGGTGACATTGTTCTTGGCTTTCCAGCAAACTTCAAACTCATCGGAATCAAGCTCATTACCATTAGGTTCACTGAATTCCCCCCTCAGTGGTAGTCTCTTGGCTGAAAGGCATCGACAGAATGGTAGTTCCCAAAGTGCTGTCTTCCAGGCCAGAGGCACCCACGTCACCCCAGGACCTGTTGGCATGCAAATCCTGGGACCTCACTCTGGTTCTGTTCAATCTGAGGCTGAGATAAAATCCATCTGCCTTCTCACATGTCCTCTAGGTAATTCAGGGGTAGGCTGGTGTGTGACAACCGCTGACTTAGATGAAATTATTCAGCTGATGTCTGACATCAGCCAAGTTGCCTACAACATAAAAAGTGTGATTATAGCTGATCAGAACGAGATGATGGATACAGAAAGTAATTTCCAAAATTTGTTCGATTCCCCGGTTTTCACATCATACAAAGCCCAGACTGGTGTCCTTTTCCAAAGACCCCCTGGCAACTGTATGTTGAGAAGCTACTTTTTACTGTCCTGGAGTCCTAGAGGTTGGGGGCCGGCACTGTGGCCTAGCAGGCTAAGCCATGAAATTTCAAGAAAGCTTCATGCATACTAAACCCGCCCAAGCTCCGCCCCGTTTGTATATTCATTAGTCCCATAAGGGGCTCCACATGTGGGAGAGGCACTTTGTCCTTTAGCTCCTGCCTTGCTTCCGGCTCCTTCTCTGGCTCTCTCCCATGCTCTGTCATGGGCAACTCTCTGGCCACTTACGATGGGTGTCTCTCCATTGGGGTGGCCCACACTCAGGCGTGAATGTATAGTCACTCTCTGACTTTTAAATAAACCCTGCTCTCTCACTTGTGCACTGTATTTAGACCTCTGCTTTGAATTCTATCTCTGAGGGGGCAACAACTTGAAATAAAAATTAAGATACACAGGCCCATACACTCTGAGTCTCAGGTTCTCATCTGTACCTCTGAGGGCCAAGTTATCCTTAAGGGCATTTCCACATCTAAAATTCTGTAATTCTATGAATCCAATAACTTAAACTCTTCCTACACTCTAGATTTTGTGAGAAAGAAAAATTACAAGTAAATAAAACTTTCAAGAAGCAACTGTAGTTAACTCAGCCCAGTCTTATCTACAGCTCCAGTGCTGTTCAATGATTATAAGAGTTCAGAATTCTATTCTGAGGGCACCATAAGAGACTGGGTTGGGAAGTTGATATTATGGATATCATAATTCTACTGTTGTTTTATTATAGGATTTATTTATTTACTTGAGAGGCAGAGGTACAGACAGAGAGGGAGAGACAGAGAGAGAGGTCTTACATCTGCTGGTTCACTCTCCAAATGGCCAAAATGGCCAGAGCTGAGCCGATCTGAAGCCAGGAGCTTCTTCTGGGTCTCCCACATGGGTGCAGGGGCCCAAGGACTTGGGCCATCTTCCACTGCTTTCCCAGGCCATCAGCAGAGAGATGGATCAGAAATGGAGCAGCTGGGACTTGAACTGGCACCCATATGGGATGTCAGCGCCACAGGAGGGTGCTTAACCTACTACACCACAGCACTGGCCCCTTACTGTTGTGTATTTTTATAAATTTCTTTGAAAGAGAAACAGATAGAAAGATAGAAATAGCCTCTGTCCACTGGTTTACTGCCCAAACGCCTGCAACAGGTGGAGTTGGGCCAGGCTAGAGCTGGGATTTCAATCCAGGTTTCCCACATGGATGACAGGGACCCAAGTATTTCAGCCATCACCTGTTGTCCCCCTGCCCCCAGGCTATGCATCAGCAAGGAGCTGGAATTGTGTGCAGAGTTGGGACTTGAACCCTAGGATTTCTGATACAACAGTTTAACTGCCTGCCACTGTTATATATTTTATCTGTTTTAATTATCAAAACATTCATTAGCACATATGTGATATATGACCAACTTCTGTAGAATAAACTGGAACACACTATTTCCTACCTATTTGGAATAAGTGGAAGTTCAATCATCTATCTTTATTTTGAGTAATTCAATAGGTTTTAATTTCTGCATTTCATTGCTATTACTCAATCTTGGAAGGATGAGGATAGAAATTCTTGTTTCTGGGATACAGACGGGGATGTGGAATCAGAACCATTTAGAGTTGAAATGAGCCTTAAAGTTTGACCAATCAAATCTCTTTTAAAAATGTTAATTGATTAATTAATTTGAAAGGCATCAAGGCTAAAAGAGACAGAAAGAGATCTTCTACCCACTGACTGGTTCACTCTACAAATGCCTGCAACAGCTGGGGCTGGGCCAGACGGACGCCAGGAGTGAGGAAGTCCACCCGCTCTCCCATGTGTGTGGCAGGGACTCATGTACTTGAGTCACCATCTACTGCTTCCCAGGTGCAATAGCAGGGAGCTGGATGGGAAGTGGAGCAGCCAGGACTTGAATTGGCATTTTGATATCAGAAGCAAGTGTTGTAAGTGACGACAATAACTGCAGTGCCACAACACTTGTCCCAGTTTCTTTGTTTTACACGTGAGGAAAACAAAGCCCAGAGAAAGTAAAGGCCAGAAATTTGAAGATCATCTGGACAAGAGCTGGAATACAACACAAGGCCACCTGATCACCTTGCTTATTTTCCAACAGAAACTCTCAGTAAATTTCCCTCGTGGTGTCCTAATCACTAGGACAAGCTAGACAAGAAAGCCAAGTTTATTTAGGGTTTACCTATGTAACAAGGTACTGACCTCTTCCTACTTCCAGGCCTAAATTCAACTCTACTATGACCTTTAAAGACTATTGTTCAAAGGAGAGACTTCTTAAATAAATAGAGATGCAAGACTCCTTCCTTTGACAATTTGGATTTTAACTATTAGCATTTTCACATCATTAAAATATTCTAGGAAGTCCACTTATGAACTAGTTCATATTAAAAAGTTTAGGGGCCGGCTCTGTGGCGCAGTAGGTTAATCCTCTACCTGCAGCGTTGGCATCCCATATGGGCGCCAGTTCTAGTCCTGGCTGCCCCTCTTCCAATCCAGCTCTCTGCTATGGCCTGGGAAAGCAGTAGAAGATGGCCCAAATCCTTGGGCCCCTGCACCCACATAGGAGACCTGGAAGAAGCACCTGGCTCCTGGCTTTGGATCAGCGAAGCTCCGGTCATTGCAGCCATCTGGGGAGTGAACCAATGGAAGGAAGACCTTTCTCTCTGTCTCTCTCTCCCTCTCACTGTCTGTAACTCTACTTCTCAAATAAATAAATACATAAGATCTTTTAAAAAATAATAAAAATAAAAAGTTTAAAAATAATCAGTAGAGAAAGGAAATAAGGAGGTGTGTGTGTGAGAGAGAGAGAGAGGGAGAAGGAGGGAGGAAGGGAGGGAGGGAGGGAGGAAAGAGAGAGGGAGAGAGAGGGAGGGAGGAGAGAGAGAGAGAGAGAGAGAGAGAGAGAGAGAGAGAAACTCCAGACTGGTGCCAGTCTGAAGGGGATGCTGTTATCAGTGTAGGTGGAAGGAACAGATTAAGAAGGAAAAGCCGCAGAAAGAGCATTGTTGCCAAGAATTGTTATCAATGAAAATTCTGGAAACCATAGCCCTACTTCTCTCTTTGGAGATCCTACAAAATGAGAGCACAAAGATTCATTGAGCCAACAAAGCTTGGGTTTCAAACCGGCGTGAGTGGTAGGGAACAAGGATCAAGAGGCTCATAAAGGCATCCAGCCGTCTACTTTACTGAAGTGGAAAAAACCGTTATCGCCACTTCCATGTTATATCTGGCAGGCCATGGACACAGCATATTCCAGTTGGTGCCACAGAAGCCAGCTGAACTGGCTGAGGGTACACATAGGCAGTGCAGAGAAAGAGTTTTAATTCAAAAGTACTGGTGATCTGTGAAAGAGATAGGCCAGCCCTAAAGCATGGGCTCCCTGCTCCATCTGATGTGATGCCAATCCTGGATTCCCTTGTCCTCTAAGAAGGATGTCCCTATCTTTGGAGAAACAAGCTATTGAACGTCTCTCTGTTCCCTTACTGCTGGGTCCATTGGTTCTTGTGGAGTTCTAGGAAAGCAAGAACACTTTTTGGCCTACTTCATTGTAACCTAAAATAGTGCATAAGTCCAATCTTGTAACTCCAAACCATCACTGAGACTTGGGCAGTAATAGATCAAGGAATTGAGCCTAAAAGCTAAGCAAAAGTTGGGAACAGAGACTGAGGGTGAGTTAAATGCGGGATTCTTTTCCAAACAGCATTTGGGAGCTGACAGTCTAGAACAGGGGTCAGCAAACATTTTCTGTGATGGGCAGATGGCAAATATTTCAGACTTGCAGCCCATAGGGTCCCTCTCATAGCTATTCAAATATGCCATTGTAGAACAAAAGCAGTCACATACAACATACAAATAAGTGAATGTGCCCCTCTTCCAAAAAACCTATTTCTGGACAATGAAACTTGAATTCTATATTATGTTTGCATGCAAAGGGATATCATTATTTTTAAAATTTTATTTTCAACCACTAGGAAATTGTAATCAGTCTTATCTTACAAGCTATATAAAAGCAAATAGTAGGTGAGATCTGGGCCACAGACTATAATTTGCAGGTTCCTGGTCTAGAACAATGTTGTCCAATATAAATGTAAAATCCACACATGAAATTTAAAATTTTCCTTAAAAATTTAAAAATTCATTATATTTATTTGAAAGACAGAGAGACAAAGAGAGTTCCCATCTGTTGGTTCACTCTCCCAGTGCCCAGAGCCGCTGGAGCTGGGTCAGGATGAAGCCAGGAGCTGAGAACTCAGTCTGGCTCCAGGTGGGTAGCAGGGACCCAGCCACCTGAGCTGACACCTGCCACCTCCCAGGGTGCACTAGAAAGAAGCTGGAATCGAGAGCAGAACTCGGATGTGAGCCCAGGCATTTTGGTAAGGGATGCAGGCATCCTGCACGAAACGCCCACCCCTGTAATTTAAAACTTCCCAGTAACCCTACATAGAAACTAAAAATCGACAGGTGCAATTAATCTTACCAATAGATTTTATTTAACCTGGTTTATCAAAAATATTATTTCAACCTGATATAAATATACAAATATCCCATGAGATATTTTACTCCTTTTCATACTAAGTCTTTGAAATTCAGGATGTATTTTACACAGAGAGCATAACTCAATTCATTCTAGCCTTATTACAGAAGTCCAGTAGCTGGGGGCTACCACCGCTCACAGTACAGGTCCAGAACAGTGTTTTCTGACTGTAGGTTGCATCAGTATCATCTGGAGGGCTGTTAAAATATAGACTTCTAGGCCCAATATCCAGAAGTTCTCATTCAGTAAGTTTGGGTGGGGCTAAGAACTTGCATTTCACTTTTTTCTTCAAGATTTATTTGAAAGTCGGAGTTGGAGAGAGAGATCTTCCATCTGCTGGTTCATTCCCCAGATGGCTGCAATGGCCGGAGCAGTGCTGGCCCCAAGAACTTGCATTTCTAGTAAGTTCCCAGGTGGTGCTGATGCTGTTGGTCAAAGGATCATATCCTGGGGCTGGCGTTATGGTGCAGCGTGTTAAGCGATAGCCTGTGATGCTAACATCCCATATGATCACTGGTTTGAGTCCCAGCTGCTCCAATTCCAATCCAGCTCCTTGCTAATGCACCTAGGAAAGCAGTGGAAGATGGTCCAAGTATTTGGGCACCTGCACCCACATGGGAGACCCAGATGGAACTCCAGGCTCCTGGCTTAAGTCTGGCCCAGCCCGGCCCAGCCCTGGCCATTGCAGCCATTTGGGAAGTGAAAAAAAGCGGATGGAAAATCTCTCCCCCTCTTTCTCCTCTGTGACTCTTTCAAATAAATAAATACATCTTAAAATAAAAAAAAGATCATGTCTTGATAAACTCATGTCTAGAAGCTGAAGTAGTAAGAAAATGTAGAGGCCGGCGCCGCAGCTCACTAGGCTAATCCTCCGCCTGCGGCACCAGCACCCTGGGTTCTAGTTCTGGTTGGGGCGCCGGATTCTGTCCCGGTTGCTCCTCTTCCAGTCCAGCTCTCTGCTGTGGCCCGGGAGGGCAGTGGAGGATGGTCCAAGTGCTTAGGCACCTGCACCCTCGTGAGAGACCAGGGAAAAGCACCTGACTCCTGGCTTCGGACCGGCACAGCGCGCTGGCCATAGCGGCCATTTCGGGGGTGAACCAACAGAAGGAAGACCTTTCTCTGTCTCTCTTTCTTGCTGTCTGTAACTCTACCTGTCAAATAAATAAATAAAATCTTTTTTTAAAAAAATCACGTCTTGATAAACTCACGTCTAGAAGCTTCTAGAAGCTGAAGTAGTAAGAAAATGTAGAGGCCAGTGCCACTGCTCACTAGGCTAATCCTCTGCTTGCGGCGCTGGTACCCCAGGTTCTAGTCCCAGTTGGGGTGCCGGATTCTGTCCCGGTGGCTCTTCTTCCAGTCCAGCTCTCTGCTGTGGCCTGGGAAGGCAGTGGAGGATGACCCAAGTGCTTGGGCCCTGCACCTGCATGGGAGACCAGGAGGAAGCACCTGGTTCCTGGCTTCAGATCGGCGCAGCATGCCGGCCGTAGCGGCCATTTGGGGGTGAACCAATGGAAGGAAGACTTTTCTCTCTGTCTCTTTTTCTCACTAACTCTGCCTGTCAAAAAAAAAAAGGATTCATAAATAATAATAATAATAATAATAATAATAAAATTACTATGTGTCAAGCTATGTGCTAGGCACTGGGAACAAGATGAAGCCCCTTTCTTGGAATTTCTATGCCTGGCAATAAACAAGGAATGGATTCGATTATAGGAAGGGCTCTGAAGGAAGTCAGGGGGTTCTAGTTAATAGTAGTATTTCAAAAAGATTATTTAGCTTGCTGACTTTAACATCCAAGTGTCTTCTCTATGTGTCACAGAGGGTAACCTCTGAAAAGTGGCATTATTACTGAGCCAGGGTGGGATGGGGGAGTTTTCCCATGCCAATTTGATGGGCAAATCATTTGGATTCAAACCCTCTCCCCTACATTGCTCACCCACCTAAAACCCCTCCTTCAGAAATCTTGGAGTCATCACTGATTTCTCTCTCTCTCTCTCTTTTTTTTTTTAAGATTTATTTATTTATTTGAGAGGTAGAGTTACAGAGAGAGGGAGAGAAAGGTCTTCCATCCACTGGTTCACTCCCCAAAAGACCACAATGGCTGGAGCTGAGCTGATCTGAAGCTAAGAGCCAGGAGCTTCTTCCAGGTCTCCCATGTGATTGCAGGGTTCCAAGCGCTTGAGCCATCTTCTACTGCTTTCCCAGGCCATAGCAGAGTGCTGGATTGGAAGAAGAGCAGCCAGGACTTGAACCAAAGTCCATATGGTATTCCAGTGCTGCAGGTGGAGGCTTAGCCCACTGAACCACAATGCTGGCCGCCATCACTGATTTCATGGTAGCTCCTACCTAACAGAGTTAATTATCAAACATGAAAAAGAATATTGAGACTTTAGAGGAAATGGCCATATTTTTAAAAAAATATTTATTTATTTGAAAGGCAGAGTTACAGAAGGAGGGAGAGACACAGAGAGATCTTCCATCCTCTGGTTCACTCCAACAGTCTGAGCTGGGCCAATCTGAAGCCAGGAGCCAAGAGCTTCTTCCAGGACTCCCATGTGGGTGCAGGGACCCAAGTACTTGGGCCATCTTCTGCTGCTTTCCCAGGCCATTAGCAGAGAGCTGGATCAGAAGTGGGGCCGCTGGGACCCGAACTGGCAACCATATGGGGCTGGCACTGCAGGCGGAGGTTTACCCTACTATGCCTCAGTGTGAAGGGCCACATTTTAAAACAAATAACCATAATCTGCATTCTTCTGCCTCTGCCATAACCGGTCCTCACGAGAGGGAGACTATCTCTTGGATTTCAACTCAGAGGAGGAAGAGTTCTGGCTGCCAGAACCAGACTACCAGTTCGGAACACCCCAAGAAGTCAGGCCCTGTGACTCCTTGGGAAGCTCTGCCTCCCTCCACCCCATGTAGTGGGCTGCTGGATTCCTGGGCCCACATCCTGCCTGGCCATGGGGGAGGGGAAATCTGGTGGGGAGGCAGCTGTCCCCTCTGCAAGGTGAATGGGGCACTGACCCCGAGAAAAAGCCGTCTGGACACAGAGCAGCAGAACCTAACTAAGGATTTGTAGATAAAGGTCAGGTGTCATAAGTGAAGGGCGGGGCGGAATGCACAGTTGCTAAGGCACGGGTGGCAAGGAGCAGCCACAATGCACTGGCTCCCACTCAGGGTGCACTATGTGTGTCTCCCTGGCCTGAACCACGGTGCCCCAGAAACTCCACGTAGGATGATCCATCTGTGCCTGTGGGTCCCATGGGTCCTCTTCGCGTGGCAACCATCGAGGTTGCTAATCCAGGCAACTCATCCTCCGGAGGGGGCCCAGGACCCAGTCCAGCTGACTTCTGAGCCCTGGTCTTCACACTCCTCTAATACCCCACCCGAATCGCCTGATGCGCTCACACCCCCTGCAGATCCCGGCGGCTTCGATTACCTGGGGTCGTCTGCTCCCTCCCAGATGTTAGTCCCACCTCAAGAGTCCACTGCGAATTTGGCTCCTTTTCTGGACGTGGATTCAGCTCCAGAGCTGCCCCCAGAGCTGGACCAGCTGGGTGTTCTGTATCAAGATCTGAACAGCAAGCTCACTCGGCAACAAAGGCTCCCAGAGGCCGTCCCAGTGACGGGTGGGGATCGGCATCAGGCCCCGGCTCTGCCTCCTCAACCAGAAAGTAAGAGTCACCAGGCATTTGAAATACTCGTTCCACCGCTAGACGGTCAGAGTTCAAAGCCAACCAAGTTTATTGTTTCAACCCCAAACCTGAAGGAGGATCTCACTCGACATCGAACACTTGCTAAGGTTGTTGCTGGAACTCCAGAAGAATTTGCAAAGTTTGGACGTCCAGATCAAAGTTTTCTGGATGATTATGTCAGCTATCCTGACAGCTTACCCCTGGCATTCGAAGAGGACTCAGGTGAGCACCCAGAGCCCTTTCAGAACGTTGAACCATCACAATTCCAGCGCAAGGGCCAACTTCAAAGTCCGGAGGTTCTTGAGGAGTTCCAGTTCCCTTCACCCCAGCAAGAGGGCCCAGCTCAGCCTCCAGAGCCCCTCGAGGACGCTGCACCTGCTTCAACCCAGCAGGAGGCCCTAGCCCAACATCCATTTGCTACTGAAGAAGTCGGAGGTCGACCATCAGTACACCATGAGGTCAATGCCCCGTCTCCACCTCTGCGCTCAACCTTGCCCAGCGTCACAGTCAGACCTCCGGACGTGGAGCTTACAGTGACACCAGAGGCAGGCAACGACGCTCAAGCTACTCCGGGCCAGCAGCAGGCCCCGGCTCAGCCGCCAGAACGCTATGAGCAGGTGGAACCTTCCCCGCGAGAGGGTACAGAGCCCTCAGAGTTCCCTGTGGAACCCGAACCGTCATTAACCCAGCAAGAATACCCAGCCCAGCTGCCAGAGTTTGCTGAGGAGGTCAGACCACCAGCCGCGCAGCAGGAGGGCCTGCCCGTGAGCACGGAGCTTTCTCCCGGTGAGCAGGAGCAGCCAGTTCGACCCTCTGGAGGCCATCCGGAAGCCCCAGAGCAGCCTTCACAGCTCCCTGTAGAGGTCAGGCCTCCAGCTCAGCAGGAGCCTCAAGCTGCGGCTCCAGAAGTTGCTGTGGAAAGCATAGCGCAGACTCTACCAGGCTACGCGTGGACAGTTCCACCTGCAGGTCAGGAGCAAGCTTACAACTACAACTTGCCCAACGCTACAGCTAAGCCTGCGGATGTGGAAATGACCATAACGCTAAAGCCTACCAAAGAGGGTGAAGCTTCGGCCCAGCAGGTGGCCCCGGCTCAGACTCTAGGCCCTTTCCCCAGTGAACAGGAGCAGCCAGCTCAGTACGCAGGGTCTCCCACGGAGACAGAGCCTGCTCCAGCCCCGCAGGAGGCCCTGGCTCAGACCCCGCGCCCTCCTCCGGAGGCTGAATTCTTCCCCAGCGAGCAGGGGCAGCCAGTTCAGTACGCTGAGCCTACTGCGGAGGCGGAACCTTCTCCCGGCGAGCAGGAGCAAGCAGTGCAGCCTTCTGAGTCTTCCGGGGAGGCCGAATCTTTGGAAAGCCAGCTGGAAGGCCCAGCTCAGCCTCCGGAACATCAGGAGGTGACAGTTTCACTTCCAGGTCCCCATCAATATCAACATCCAGACGTCCCCAGTGTGACGAGTAAACCTCCAGATCTGCAGCTCACCATAACACCAGAACCCGCGGCAGAGGAGGGAACACTGCCAATCAAGCAGGAGACCACAGCTCAGCCTGCAGTCCCAGTCCACGGTGAGGAACCTTCGGAAACTCAGCATGAGGCCCCAGCTGTGCCTCCAGGGTCTTTTGAAGAGGTTGAACCTTTACCAGTTCCGTCTCCAGAAGTCACTGAGGAGGAGAAACCCTCTCCAATCCAGCAGGAAGCCCCAGCGCAGCCTCCGGAGATCCCTAATGAGACCGTAGTGCAAACTCCAGAGCTTCACTATCAGGGTCAGTCTCCAACGTTGCAAGATATCTCCATCCAACCTGCAGAGAGTACTCATGAGGTTGAAACTTCAAGCCAACAGGAAGCGCCGGCTCAGTCCTCAGGGAACCCTGAGCAGCCTGAGCCTTTTAAAGATCACGGGACAGTGATGGCTCAGCCGCCAACCACCCCTGAAAAGGATGAGCATTCTCCAGTTGATCAAGGGATCCCAGCTCGGCCTGAAGAACTTGAGGGACCTTCTCCAAGCCAGCAGGAGAGCTCAGTTCTTCTTCAGAAGCCCACTGTGGGTGCTGAACAATTATCAGTCCAACAGGAACAGCCTGAGCCTTCGACGGAGAATACCATGACACTTTCACCTCTTGATCTGTCCGTGTTATTCAGAGGTCATCGTTTAACGTTGCCTAAAACCACACAGAAACCTGTGGATCTTGAGGTCACCATAACTTCAGCTTCAGAGGTTGAATCCTTCCCAGGTCAGCAGAAGGACTCTGCTCAGCCTACAGGTCTCACTCAGCAAGCTGAATTTTCTCCAACTCAGTTTGATCCTCCTTCCCAGATCCTAGAACCCACTGAAAAGGTAGAGTTTTCTCCAGCTGAGCAAGAGGCCACAGATGAGACTGCAGATCCCCACAACGAGGTAGAACCTATTCCAATGCAACAGGACTCTCCATCTGTACCACAAGCGCCCCCTGGGGCTGACTCCTCTGCAACGCAACAGGAGGTGTCAGAGCACCCTCCAGAAACCCCTAGTGAGGCCAATCTTTTTTTGCCACAGCAGGAGGTAACACCTAAGGAGTTTGGAACTCAACCCCCAGTATATCAGGAGGTGACATTTCCAACACTCACTCAGGATCGAACTCAGTATCCACAGTTATCCAGAAACCTATTTCAACCTTTTACCATGCAAGTTGCCATAACTCCTTTTCCAGCAAACCCTGATGTGAGACTTCCACATCTAGACCAGGTTCAGGCTCAGCATCCAAACCTGGCTCAAGTCATGGTTCAGCCTTCAAATCTGGGACTTAGCACGACTCCAAAACCAACTATGCAGGGTGACTTTTCTGCAACTCAACTTCCGGAGCCACCTAAAAAGGTTGTAGCTCAGCTCCCAGTATTTCAGGAGGTGACAACTCCAACACCAGTTCAGAATCCAGTTCAGTATCCGATGTCACCCAGGATCACATTTCGACCGCTGAAGCTGGAGCTTACTATAGCTCCACAACCCACTACAGGCGGTGAGCTTTCTCCAACCGTGCAGGATACCACAAGTCAATCTCTAGAGCCTCCTAAGGGAGTTGGTGGAGGTCAAATTCCATTATATCAGGAGGTGACAGTTCCAAAACAAGGTCAGAATCAAGCTCAGCATCCAGAGTTACCCAGCATCACATTTCAACCTTTGACCTTGGGGCTCACCATTACTCCAGAAGCCACCATGCAGGCTGAGCATTCCACAGCCCCGAAGACCCCTCCAACACATGCTGAGGCGATACTTTCACACCCAGACCTGATTCAAGCCACAGATCAACATTTGGACCTGGGAATTGCCTTAACTCCAGAACTCAACACAGAGGTTGAACCTTCTCCAACCACACCAGAGACCCCAACCCAGCTTACAGAGTCATCTACAGAGGTTGCAGCTCAACTTCCGGTGTATCAGGAGGTGACATCTCCAGCACCAGGCCAGGATCAAGCTCAGCCTCCAGTGTCAGCCAGTGTCACAGATCAGCCTTTGGACCTACCACCTACCAATACTCCAGAACCCACCACGGAGGCCGAGCATTCTACAGCTCTGTATCCAGACAAGATTCAGACGCAGAATCCAAACCTGACTCAGGTCACTGTTCAACATTTGGGCCAGGAATTTACCATAACTCCAGAACCCAGTAGTACAGAGACTGAACTTGCTTCAAACATGCAGGAGACCCCAGCCCAACATCCGGCATCAGCTAGTGTCACAGTTCAGCCTTTGAGTGTAGTGCTTACCACAACTCCACAACCTAGCGTGGAGGCTGAACATTCTACAGCTCTGAAGACCACAACACCTCCTCCACTGTACCCTGAAGCAACACTTTCACATTCAGAATATGTTCAGGCTCAGCATCCAGAAGTGACTGGAGTCACAGTTCAACCTTTTGATCTAGAACTTACCTTAACTCCAGGATCCAAGGTGGAGGCTGAGCCATCGCCAGCCATCCAGCAGACCCCAGCTCAGCCTCCAGAGCTACCTACAGAGGCTGTAACTCAACCTCCAGTGAATTATGAGATGACAGTTGCAACACCAAGCCAAGATCAAACTCAGCATTCAATGTCACCCGGTGTCGCAGTTCAGCCTTCGAAGTTAGAGCTTCCCATAACTGCAGAACCCACCACACAGGCTGAACATTCTACAGCCCTGGAGACTACAGTGCCTCCCCCAGTGCACTCGCAGGTGACACTTTCACATCCAGACCAGATTCAGACTCAGCATAAAAATCTGAGTCAAGTCACAGTCAAACCTCTGGGCCTGGCTATTACTGGAACTCCACAATATACTACAGAGGTCAAACCTTCTACGACCATGCAGGTGACCCTACCTCAGCCTCCAGAGCCACCTAATGAGGTTGCAGCTCAATCCCCAGTGTATTACGAGATGACAGTTCCAACACCAGGTCAGGATCAAGATCAGCATGCAACATCACCCAGTGTCACAGCTCAGCCTTCAGAGTTGGAACTCACCCAAATTCCAGCGCCTGCTACACAGGTTGACCTTCCTATACTCCTGAAGACTACAGCTGTACCTCTAGGCCAGATTCAGATGCAGTACCCTGAAGTCACAGGTCAACCTTCAGATCTGCAGTTCCCTGTGACTCAGTATTCTGTAAATTATATCCCAGAAAGTGCGTTAGCTGTGCAAAAGGAAAAGAATGCCACCCAAAACACCGACACATGTGAGCTCTGTACCTGCAAAGATCAGACACTGTCATGTACTGGTCTCAGCCCAAGGCAGAAGCTCCACAGAGTGCCTGTGCCAGCGCCCAATACCTTCAATGGCACCTTCATCATCTTGTAAGAACTGCCCTTCCTCACTGTTCCTCACATCCTGCATGTCATGGTAGCCTTTTCCTCAAGATCTCCCTGGGCCTCCTTCAAGTCCTCAACCTGCATTGCCTGACTTTCTCTCTTGACCCCTTCCTTCCTTCCTCCCTTCCTTCCTTCCTTCCTTCCTCCCTCCCTTCCTCCCTTCCTTCCTTCCTCCCTTCCTTCCTTCCTTCCTCCCTCCCTCCCTCCCTCCCTCCCTCCCTTCCTTCCTTCCTCCCTCCCTCCCTCCCTCCCTCCCTCCCTCCCTCCTTCTCTTTCTCTTTCTTTCTTTCTTTCTTTTTCTTTCTTTCCTTCCTTCTTTCTTTCTTTCTCTTTTAAAGATTTATTTATTTGAGAGGCAGAGTTACAGACAGAATGGGAGGAAGAGAGAGAGAGAGAGAAATTTTAACATTTGCTGGTTCACTTCCCAAATGGCCACAATGGCCAGAGCTGAGCCAATCTGAAGCCAGGAGCGACTCAGGTCCAGCTTTTGTGGCCGTTTGGGGACTGCACCAGTGGATGGAAGGCCTCTCTCTCTCTACCTCTACCTATAACTCTGTCTTTCAAATGAAAAAAAAAAAATCTTAAAAGAAAAGGAAGCTGAAGTCAGGAACGGGAGCTGGTTATTGAGCCCGGGGAACTCTGACATGGGATACAGTGTCTCAACCACCAGGCAAATGCCCATCCCAAGAAGATAAGTTTAGAGACTGTGTGTGGAGTCATCTAGAAAGGGAAGCTTAATTCAGGGACATCAAATAGGAAAATCTCTAGCAAAATCCAGGAGTAAAGTGGGAGTGGGGCCAAGTCAGCGGCTGAGATGAGAGTGAAAAGGAAGTCCTGGGAGACTACAAAGAAAGGACAGATCTGGTGACTGACCAGACTTGCGGGGATGGGTGCACAGAAATGAAAAAATGTGGCTCCACAACTCTGTCCTCGCTGATGGTGAGAACAAGTGGCCTAACAGGTGGAAACAGCAGTCAGAAAGGAGAGCCACTTTGAGGGAGATGTGTTCCATTTTAATTATTTTTTATTGGTGAATGTAAAGCAAAGAAAGGCTTCTGGTTGAGTGGAAATGTCTACTAGGCCGATGAGCAGATAGGCAGGCATTTGTTTTGACTTATTTCTGCTCCCTCCAGAAAAACATGTACATAAACCATACGGGTGACATTGTTGCTGAAGGGTGAGGGTGAGGACAGAGGTAGAAGTAAGTTATCCAGAGCTGGCATTTAAGAGCTTCTGTTAAACAGGCATCATTCAACAGTACATTCTCACTTTTTTTTTTTTTTTTTTGAATTTATTTGACAGAGTTAGAAAGTGAGAGAGAGAGACAGAGAGAAAGGTCTTCCTTCCATTGGTTCACCCCCAAAATGGCTGCCATGGCTGGCACTGTGCCAATCTGAAGCCAGGAGCCAGGAGCTTCTTCCTGGTTTCCCATGCGGGTGCAGGGCCCAAGCACTTGGGCCATCCTCCACTGCCTTCCCAGCCACAGCAGAGAGCTGGACTGGAAGAGGAGCAACTGGGACTAGAACCTGGCGTCCATATGGGATGCCGACGTCACAGGCGGAGGATTAGCCTAGTGAGCCGCGGTGCCGGTCCCTCACTTTTTTTAAAAAGGTCATAGAAGGGCCGGCACCTCGGCTCACTAGGCTAATCCTCCGCCTCGTGGCGCCGGCACCCCAGGTTCTAGTCCCGGTCGGGGCGCTGGATTCTGTCCTGGTTGCCCCTCTTCCAGGCCAGCTCTCTGCTGTGGCCCGGGAGTGCAGTGGAGGATGGCCCAAGTACTTGGGCCCTGCACCCCATGGGAGACCAGGAGAAGCACCTGGCTCCTGCAATAGGATCAGCGCGGTGCACCGGCCACGGTGGCCATTGGAAGGTGAACCAACGGCAAAGGAAGACCTTTCTCTCTCTCTCTCTCACTCTCCACTCTGCCTGTCAAAAAAAGAAAAAAAAAAGGTCCTAGAAGAACATGGGATAAAATGCAACAATCTGCAGCCCCATACCCTTGATCTCTCATCCTCTGCGCTCCAGCACCCACAGCACAGCCCTGTTACTATCTTGCTGTGTGCCAGGCCTTGCAATTTCTCCCCCTCACATTTTCTCCCAGGGGAGGTAATTCTTTGCTCCTGATCAGTGGTTTGAGCTCTTCCCCATGCACTCTGTCCCAGAGACTGCCCGTGTCGGCACATTAGCCCATCTGATGGACTGTCCATGTTCATTCACTGTCTGGAGAGATTTCAGCAGAGGGCATCTGGCCCAAGTGTTAGAATTACCTGCTATAGGTAATTATTTCTTTATTCATACTTGCTGGTAATGATAAACTTCGCCCAGTTTTCTATTGAATTATCCTTTTCTTACTGATCTGTACAAGAAGTCAGTCTAGACTTGTATAGAGACTGTACAGAGCGGAAGCTAAGCTAGGTGCCGCCTCATTGTGCCAGGGATTTCATTTTCTTTTCTTGTAGTTTTTTTTTTTTTTTTTTTTTTGACAGGGAGAGTGGACAGTGAGAGAGAGAGACAGAGAGAGAAAGGTCTTCCTTTGCCGCTGGTTCACCCTCCAATGGCCGCCGCTGCAGCCGGCGCACCGCGCTGATCCTGGCAGGAGCCAGGAGCCAGGTGCTTTTCCTGGTCTCCCATGGGGTGCAGGGCCCAAGCACCTGGGCCATCCTCCACTGCACTCCCTGGCCATAGCAGAGAGCTGGCCTGGAAGAGGGGCAACCGGGACAGAATCCGGCGCCCCAACCGGGACTAGAACCCGGTGTGCCGGCGCCGCAAGGTGGAGGATTAGCCTATTGAGCCACGGCGCCGGCTCAGTCTGTATTTCTTAATTGTGCTTACCAAGAAGGTGACAATTCTAGAAACTGGAAAGCTGGCAGTATTTGCCATATTTCAGTACTCCTCATGGAGTCGCCACGATTCTTCCCCTTGTTTTGTTAATTTTTTTTTCCTACCTATTCAAGAATATGAACTATGTTTCTTTATAGAAATTTCCAAGGAAATTCTATTTCCTACATTGACGACGACGTATGGAAAGCATACCACTGGGTTGAGAAACTGTGAGTACATCCTCTCTAAATACGAATACAAAAAACTAACTGCATTGTAAGCTCTTGGTTCAGTATTTTGAGGTCAGTCTCTCTTAGAAAAGGTATTTAAAGGTATTTACTCCTCTATATTGCAAACCAACCTCTATTGATGACAGTTCTATGGTTAACTTAACTAAATGCGGCATTTGAAATGAGACCACTTGAATTTATTTTTCATTATGTAAATAATAATACATGATTATAGTCTTGATAAATAAAAAAGAAGTAATAGGTATAGTGAAAATGTTCCTTGCATTGTAACCTCCCACCCCTGAGCTAAGTTGCTGTGAGTTTGGTGTATATTCTCCCACACCTTTCCCCTAACGTTTCCCTGCAGACATTTTTGCATATAGCAAAACAGGCACGCTATGTGGTTTCTTTTCATTTTAAAATATTTTTATTTATTTATTTGAAAGGCACAGTGACAAGAGAGGGACACATACACCCAGAGAGAGAGAGAGAGAGGGAGGGAGAGAGATGGAGAGAGAGAGAGAGAGAGAGAGAGATCTTCCAACCGCTCGCTCACTCCTAAAGTGGCTACAATAGCCAGGGCTGGGCCAGGCTGAAGCCAGGAACCAGGAATTCTATCCAAGTGCCCCACGGTGGTGGCAGGGATTCGAGTACTTGGGCCATCATCTTCTGTCTCCTGCGCGTATTAGCAGAGAGCTGTTCTACAACACGCACCCCCTCTTTACCCGTTCACCCCTTGATACTGTCCATCTTCTTACTGATGTGGTGGGTGCATAAAAGAGGTTCTGTCTGAATCTGGATTTTTCTGATTACTTGTGAATTTAAATGTCTTTATATTTATTGAATATTTGTGGGTTTTTTGAGGTTTCTGTCTTTTGTCTATTATTGAATTGTTTTTATCATTTTCTTATTGATTTGTGGAGGGAATCAGTTTAGATCAATAATGCTGGAAAAAAATCCTTAACATTCAAGGTTAATTAAAAGGCATTTCTTCATGACAAGTTTATATGTCATATCATTGGTTCAATTTTTATACCAAGCCATAAATTCTTCTGAATAAAAATAAAACATAAAATAAATATAGTAGTCTCAAGGAGAGGAATTATGCCTAGTTTAAAATAAATTCCCTAGGGGCCCGCAATATGGCACAGTGGGTTAAGCCAGTACTGGTAATGCCAGCATCCCATATGGGAGTGCTTCTTCAACTCCTGGCTGCTCTGTTTCCAATCCAGGTTCCTGCTAACGTGCCTGGAAAAGTAGCGGAAGATGATCCTATGGATTGGACCCCACCATCCATGTGGGCAATCCAGATGGAGTTACAAGTTCCTGGTTGGTCCAACCCTGGCCATTGTGACCATGTGGGGAGTGAACCAGTAAATGGAAAATCTGTCTCTCTCTGCCTCACCTTCTCTCTCTGTTGTTCAGCCTTTCAAATAAATAAATCTTAAAAAAAAAGCCCTTTAGTCTGCTAGAATTAGGCTTCAATTTCAATTTATGAATTTGTTAAAAAGATTTATTTGAAAGGTAGAGTGACAGAGATAGAGGGAGAGACAGAAAGAGATCCCCCATCCTCAAGTTCACTCCTTAAATGGTCGTGATAGCCAGGGGTGGGTCAGACCAAAGCTAGGAGTCATGAACTCCATCCAGGTCTCCTAAGTGGGTGCAGGGGCCCAGGTACTTAGGCCATCATCTGCTACTTTCCCAGGTGCATTAGCAGGGAGGTGGCTTGGATGTGGCGCAGGTGGGACTTGAACTGGCACCCTTATATGGGATGCCAACATAGCAAGTGGTACTTTAACCTGCTGGCCACAATGCCAGCCTCTTAATTTATGGATTTTTCAAATACTGTATATGGTTTACATTTCTCTTGATTGTATCACATTTCGAGATTTTGCTTCCCAAACTTGTAAAAAAAATCAGTCATCTGCTACAAAAATAAAAAACATTAGGTTACTCTGGAGGGGGGAGAAGGGCATAGGGAAGGCTGAGGGATAGGAGTAGGAGAAAAATCTTTTTAAAATTGTACTTATTTGAGAGACAGGGAGAGAGTGTGTGTTCCAACTTGTTGTTTCATTTCCCAAATGCTTCCAACTGGGCCAGGTGAAGCGAGGAGCCTGAAACTCAATCCAGGTCTCCACACGGAGGCAGGGGTGCTACTGCTCAGCCGTCACCATTGCTTCCCACTCTGCAGCCTGTAGCTGGCACAGCTCCACGTGAGGCTTGGAAGAAGAGAGGAGGAGATGGTGCTTCTGCCAATCTTGGTGCCACACAGACTTAGGTCTATCAGGGACTTTGTGATCTACAGAGTAGGCATTAAATATATGATTTGATGGGTAGGGGTGTGTGTGTCTGTGTGTGTGTGTAGATGAACCGAAAAAGGGGAATGTGAGAAAAGATTTGAATGAAAATAGAGCAGAGAACACCAACTTGAAGTTAAATTAGAATTATGGTATCTGGATGGCACCATTACTGAGGTTTCTGATATATATGGAGTTATTCCTACATAGCAAATAATTGTAGTTAGTTTGCATTTTGATCCAGAAATAACTTTTCATTTTCCAGAATTCTCAGTGAAAATTACTTGACTGAATTACATAAGGATTCATTTGAAGGCCTGCTATCCCTCCAGTATTTGTAAGTTAGTTAACCATATTTATTTATGAGAATTTAGTTATGCTTTCTATAAAATGAATAAGAGGTTCAAACTACATAATCTCCAATGTTTCTTTCAGTAAAGAATTATGCAATTCTGTTAAATCTGTGTAGGGTCTCATACCATCTCTAGCATTGAATATATACTATGCAGTTTGTATTTTTTAAATTATATAGACAAGTTACAGATAGAAAAGCACTTAACTTATAGAGGAAGGTGGTAATAAGATTTGATTCGCTGACATCTATATGGACTTTGTTACATAAGTGTCTATATTCTGTTTTCTTATATTTAAATTTAATCAACAACTCATGGATCAAATCCTATCCAGGTCTGTTTTTATACAGCCCCTAAGTTAAGAATGCTTTTTACACTTATAAAGGGCTGTAGACGAAAAAGAAAGGAAGCAAGGAAGAAGATGCAACAGAGACAGAATGTGGCCACCAAGCCTCAAACATATACCACCATCTGGCCTTTACAAAAAAGGTTTGAACAAGTTGGTCTAGTAGAATAAAGGGAATTAAAGTTAACCTCGTATTTCTGCCTAAAGGTGAAGAAATACAGACTACCAATATTAATTTAAATACTATTAACTCAGAATTTTTTGACATTTTAATCTGAATTGGATTAACCTTTAAATATTAATTAGCTAAACCAATGGCCTGTATAAATACTATTAGCAAGGATATTAAGCTATCAGGAGAAAAACTGGTATTAAGGATTTCAATGCAGGAATTGCTATACTGTATTAAAAATAGATGTTTAAAATGATGGCTAAATGGTATAGAGGTATTGTATCATTAATCTTTATTAAACTAATTATTGGCACTCTTTAGCAAATAGATTCTTTTTTTAAGATTTTTAAAAAAATTCTATCTGAAAGGCAGAGTCAGAGAGAGAGAGGGAAATGGGGAGGGAGAGAGAGAAAGGGAGAGAGAGACAGAAAGGGGGAGAGGGAGAGAGAGAGAGGGAGAGAGAGAGAGGGAGAGAGAGAGAGGGAGAGAGAGAGGTAGAGAGAGAGGGGGAGAGAGAGAGAAAGGGAGAGAGGTAGAGAGAGAGGGAGAGAGAGAGAGAGGGAGGGAGAGAGAGGGAGGGAGAGAGAGGGAGGGAGGGGGGAGAGAGGGGGGACAGAAGGAGGGAGAGAGAGAGGGGGAGAGAGAGAGGGAGGGAAAGGCGGAGAGGGACATTTTCCATCTGCTGGTTCACTCCCAAGGGGCACAAAGGCCAGGGGCTGGGCCAGGCCAAAGCCAGGAGCCAGGAGCTTCTTCCAGGTCTCCCCTGTGGGTGCAAAGGCCCAAGCACTTGGGCCATCCTCCGCTGCTTTCCCAGGTGCATCAGCAAGGAGCTAGATGGGAAATGGAGCAGCCAGGATGCAAAGCACGAACTGGTGCGTATATGGGATGCCGGCACTGCAGGCGGCCCCTTAACCCTCTATGCCACAGTACAGTGCCGGTCCCACAAATACAGTCTTCTTTCAAATGTACAAAGCTTAAGGAAAATAGGTAGAAAGAGCCTTACATGACACAATAGTCTTTTGAGTGATCAAACCTTCTAGGCCTTAAGGGGACAACCACTTCTGAAGTGGCCATCCTGGGCACCTTTGCCATCCAAATCGTATAGACACGGTCTGGAGAAAAACAAACGATATAATTGCTCAACAGAGTAGGCCATTCATTGCTTCAAATAGGAAATCCTTTGTAAGCTAATTGCTTTATGGTAGCATATATACATTCTCATCACTTTTTAAAATGCCAATCAATTTTTAAAAGCTGAAAGAGGGGCCACATCCTAATGGGATTCACTGCTCCTGCTTCCCTGCCCACCCCCTGGCAAAGCTTTAAAAGGACCTGTTCCTGAACACGTGGCTCGCTCTCTCTTCGAATCCTGATCTCTCTGTCTGCCTCTTGATCTCTTACTCTCTCTTCTCCCCCTTTTCCTTCTCTGCTCCTTCCCTCTGGTCTGTTGGGTTTCCCCTAATAAACTCTTTCCCTTAAAAAAGAAAGAAAGAGGGGCCAGCGTCACGGCATTGTGGGTGCTATCTGTGACACCAGAATCCTATATGGGCTCTGGTTCAAGTCCTGGCTGCTCCATTTCCAATCCAGCTCCCTGCTAATGCACTTGGGAAAGCAGTGGAAGATGGCCCAAGTCCTTAGGCACCTGCACTCATGTAGGAGACCTGGAAGAAGCTCCTAGCTCCTGGCTTTGGATCCGCCCAGCTCTGGCCATTGCGACCATTTGGGGATTGAACCATCGGATGGAAGATATTTTAAAAAGCCAAAAGAAAATGCCACCCACTTTGCTTAGTACTGGAGTCAAAGAAATGAGTAAGGCAGGGTTCTTACCCTTCTAGGAACTCATGATCTTGCAGGGGAGATACACACTTGAATCAAACCATGATCCAACAAGCTCTAAGTAGATGACCAAATGCTGCAGAGGGGCCATGGAGTAACCAGACCACATTCCTTTAAAAATAGTTACTTTTCCCTTCTTCTACTCATTCTTTAACTATTCACTTACTTCATAAATATCTGAATTTGCTCTATCTCCATGAGCCAGTTTTAAACATGGTAAGCAACACGAATGAGCAAGGCCAAGTCCATGCTTTCAAGAAGTTTATGATTTGAACAAGTGGGAGACAAAAGTGACAGTGTTAAAAAGAAATGGGTATGGACACCATGCATACATTGTTTCTGGAGTAGAGAGGAGAAGAGACTTTAAGATGGATCAGGGAAGACATTGGCAGAGCAATGCTGGCTGGACAGGGCTTTGAAGTGCCACTGGGTATCATCAGAAACAGATCTTGCGGAGAATGTTCTAAGCTTGCAGAAGGAGAGTGGGAGGCAGGCAGAACACAGGACAGTATCTGAGGAACGCCACGAGTATCTAGAGCACAAGGGAGAAAGTAGGAGCTCGAAGCCACGGCTCCCAGGGCTTTGAATGCCAAGGAGCCAGCGTGGGGAGCCACGTTGTCACAGCAGTGCTTCTGAACCTAGTCAGAGTCACCTGGAGGGCTCGTTAGACCTTCCGTCACGGCTGCTGGCTGAGCTGGTCTGGAGCAGGGCTGAGGATGTACGTCCTCAGTGCCTAGGTGACGCGGTCTTTGAGAACCACGTCAGGAGAGTTCAAAAGGAGAGACTAGGAATGGAGACTCCAGCAGAGGGAGGCCAGTTGCAGCCAGCGGGGTGAAAAGTGAGAGAGGAGCTGGAATCCCTGGGAATACGGTCATGGTGGGTGGTTTTTTGTTGTTGTTGTTGTTGTTGTTTTTGTTTGTTTTGTTTGTTTGTTTTGACAGGCAGAGTGGATAGTGAGAGAGAGAGACAGAGAGAAAGGTCTTCCTTTTTCTTCCTTTTTTTTTTGCCATTGGTTCACCCTCCAATGGCTGGCGCGCTGCGGCTGGCGCACTGCGCTGATCCGAAGCCAGGAGCCAGGTGCTTCTCCTGGTCTCCCATGGGGTGCAGGGCCCAAGCACTTGGGCCATGCTCCACTGCACTCCCGGGCCACAGCAGAGAGCTGGCCTGGAAGAGGGGCAACCGGGACAGAATCTGGCGCCCCGACCGGGACTAGAACCCGGTGTGCCGGCGCTGCTAGGTGGAGGATTAGCCTAGTGAGCCGTGGCGCCGGCCTAAGGTGGGTGTTTTCAAATAAGAAGCCAGTTCCATGTCGTTTCCTACTATTCTCCCACTGTACAACTGAAAAAACTGCTGTCATAAATATCAAGGCAACATGAAGCCAGAAAAGAAATTCTATTAATGACAGAAAGTATAATTCTGAATTAGTTCAAACAACTCCTGTATTAATTTGAAGACTAATTTCCTTTCAAGTCACTTGAACCCTCTCTTTTATTTCCTGTGGTACTTAACTAGATTAGAAAAACAGAACCAAACCAGGAATGTAGAAAATGAGAATATTCCTTTCAATATTAGAAATTACAGATAGAGGTAAAAACTTTGAGCTCATATCTTGAATTTGATGAGACTATGAAAGGTCATCTAATCATTTCTCCTACTATCAGGAAAGTTTGCCTTCAAAATCTATCAAGAGCTATAGCTGTGTATTTTATTTGTGATGACCGTGAAAATTTAGGAAATTTAGAAATTTAACAGGAAATTTAGAAAATTTAGAAATTTCCTGCTAAGGAAAGGTTGTAGGCAGGGTTAGGGGCTCTGGAAGGTTCAAACACAGGTCCGAAGATGTAATTTAAAACTGCATACTCAATACTATCAAATATAAATTCTATTCATTCCTACTGAGTAGCGATCTAACAGCTAATCAAGGCAATATTTCCCTTTTCCTTGTCCTAGGGACTTATCCTGCAATAAGATACAGTCTATTGAAAGACGTACATTTGAGTCACTCCCTTTTTTGCAGTTTCTGTAAGTTGTCATTTCATAATATTTGGAATTATGATAAATCTTAATTGTAACCTTAATTGTAGAAAGTTACTAAGATTATCTAGCACATCCTTTCGGTCTCCAGCAGAGAGAGTATGAGACACTCAGGTCAGAGTGGTCATCACAGAGCAGCGCGCTCACTGCTCTGATTCTGCACCCGCGTGGTGTCCGGCAGCTGTGTACACGCTGCTGGCATCCAGTGGGCCGAGGCTGGGCGCTCCTCAGCCTCCTACCACGTACAGGACAAACCCCACCACGCAGAATCATCCGGCCCGAAACGCCAGCGATGCTTCAGTGGTGAAACCCTGCTCTGGAGACCCACCCATCACCCAGCACTAGTACCTGCTGAGCTTGATTTGCTGTATCTAATTCCCTGCATGTGTAAACGGGAGAATATAAGTCATACGCCAGTGTTTTCCAACTGAATTTCTTCAGTGTGTGGGTGCTGTTTCATCTATATGAATTAGAACCACTGCTGCAGGAGGAATGTTCTGAAAGAGTAACTTCCTTCTTGATTTGTGTCTTTCTTTATAGAAATCTCGGTTGCAATCTCCTCACAGAGCTGAACTTTGGGACCTTTCAGGCGTGGCACGGAATGCAGTTTTTGCACAAGGTGTAAGTGAAACAGAAGATAAACACGTAGTAAAGAGCTGTTCATGTGTACAAACCTACACACCGACACTTAGCTGAGTGTAAGCCTGCATAAACTGGGAAATATGCCTCAAGATCCATTCTTCTTCTTCTTCTTTTTTTTTTTTTTCCAAATAAGGAAACCAAGGAACAAAGAGGCTGAGAAGCTGGTCTGGCAGATGGCATGCTCTGCTTTCCCTAGTGCTGATCTTGGGCTTGGGCAAGAGAAGGCACCAAGCAAGTAGCACTCCCATTAGCACTGCACGAGAGCCCCGCGAGGCTGCTCGATACCCACGGCCCCGGAAATGCCACTTCTGAATTTAACTTTGACTGCTGCTCACTCTGGGGAGCAAAAGGTGCCGGCACTTTCTCAGTGTCTGTTTCTTTCAAACAATAAAGCAGAAAGAATGACTGAAAATTCAACACAGAGCACTTCTCTCCCCAGTCACCCAGATCAGTTTTTTTCCTAAGAGGTATTTATCTCTGAAGTTATGAATGATCTGTGGGCAGTAGGAACCCTTGAAGCAGGCAAAGGTAGTGTTTAGGTAAAGCTGTGGTATGAGAAGTGACACATTGCTGTAGCCTGATTCCACGTTTTGACAACACCTCAACAAAAAGTGGGGCTTTTATTCCCTTTCAGCTCAACAATTCTGTGATGGTCATGGCCTTACGGGGGGTGGATTTTAGATTCAAGGTAAAGACTCTCCTCTAAGCCTGACTTGGGAAAAGAGTATCCACCTGTCCTGTGGTTCAGAAACCCAACTTCACAGTTCATTTTGGGTTCGAGGGAGGGGTTCAGAAGTCTGGATGTGAACTGACAGTTTCTGCAGATCCTGGCTGTGTGGCCTCCTCTCTCCCCTCACTCATTTGAGGGAGCGTAACTTGGGGATGAATGTGGAGAGTTTGTTTTTCCTTTGTCCGCTCACCAGAGAGCTTCCTCCCTAGACCCCTCCACCAAGAGGTTTGGTGGTACCAACAGAAATGGCTTCAACTCACCATCCAAACCAAGTAGTCCACAGCACAGTCCTTCTTAAGGATCCGAGTTTCACTATGGTTATGTGTAGGCAACACAGGTGGAAAAACCCATGGAAGCACAGGGCATAAAAAGTGATGAATCACTCAAAGCCACTCACTGAGTGCCAGGTGCTGCGCTAAGCACTGGACGCACACATTGGGACAGAAGCTTTGTTTGCAAGACCGTTTCATACCAGAAGGAGGAGGACTGGATGTTGATGGGAGAACAGGTGAGAGCCACGCTAGCATCCGTACAGCAGGCTCAAAGAGAGGGGCAAAGTAGGAGCAGGTGCGTTAGGGATGATGCGCAGTAGAGGAGGCGCCAGTTTGTTTATCTCGGGTTTCCGTGTTCATCTTAAGCAAAAGACAGAGGCATTTGCTTCACAGAGCTAGCTGCTGCAGGAAACTAATTCCTATATCACGTGATCTGGATGTAACTAGCAGTTGCTTTCAAAGATTGGCACAATGGTCTCAATACACCACGTGTATGTTGGGGGCTGGTCTCCTTTCTTTGGGGTCCCATAATGTATTAAAGCTAATTTGCTTAGGAAACATTTGCCATTGTGATATACAAGTCTATCGCCTCGCTCCTCAAAGGCCATTGTCCAGGAAGATGCCAGTGATCTTAGGACCAATATGACTGGGGTTTCATAAGTTGAAACAACACTTTCCCTGCTTTGCAAAAGGCCTAAAAAGTCCAGCTGAGGTGGATTCGCTGTGAGTTGAGTGGAGCCTAAGCTTCAAGGCTCTGCACTTGCAGAGGCCTCCTCCAAGGTCCTGGGAGGGGCCGTAGCAATTTTTATACTCATAATTTTGCCATGTTTTATTACAGATTTCCCACATTAGATAAGGTTCAGGCCCAGCAAACTCTGTCTTTGCTCCCATGTCATGTACTTGCAGCCCCGTACGTCCCCTCTGGAATGACACCTGTGTTACTGACAGACGCTGATTGTACAGTGAGCAGTGTGGCGGCTCAGTCTGTCGTGAATCTGAAATCCACGTCAAAGACGGGCCCAGAGCTTCCTGGTGACGGGCCATCCTGAATCGTCATAATAATCAAATCTCAGCCGAATTCTAGAATGAACTATGTTATGGAAAACCAGCAGTGGTTGATAATTATAAATGTTAACTGGACTCTCTCTTTAGGCCTCCCCTTCATTCACCTACATGAGTCCAGACTGATGGCTTACTGTTTAAAAAATCCTCTGTCACTTCGTTGGTTTTAGAAGTGATTTTAGAAGTGAAGGCCTCTACTGCGTAGAGAGGCAATGCCTCATTCAGACCAAGCACATCGCACACTGGCTTGTCTGCAGTCCATCAATCTTGTGCCAAGAATGTGAGCACTAAGAGCGAGCGAGAGGAAAAAAACAAGAGTGAAGTACTAGAGAACTGGGATAATTTGGGGGAAGGATAACAGCAAACCTGTAAAGTTATTTTGGCTACTTAATGCTTTACCATCATTCTTTTTTTTTTTTTTTTTTTTTGACAGGCAGAGTTGTCAGTGAGAGAGAGAGAGACAGACAGAAAGGTCTTCCTTTGCCGTTGGTTCATCCTACAATGGCCGCCGCGGCCGGCGCGTTGCGGCCAGCACACCGTGCTGATCCGAAGGCAGGAGCCAGGTGCTTCTCCTGGTCTCCCATGGGGTGCAGGGCCCAAGCACTTGGGCCATCCTCCACTGCACACCCTGGCCACAGCAGAGAGCTGGCCTGGAAGAGGGGCAACCGGGACAGAATCCGGCGCCCCGACCACGACTAGAACCCAGTGTGCCGGCGCCGCAAGGTGGAGGATTAGCCTAGTGAGCCGCAGTGTCGGCCTACCATCATTCTTATGGCTGAGGAAAGTGGGAAGCAGAGAGGTAGAGGCGGAGGAGCCTACTTGCACAATGGCCACTGGTGATCTTAGAGGTTTTAGTGCCGGGAAAAAAAAAGAAAGATGTTCAAAGTTCAATCTGAGAAACCATGCCTAAGCAGGCATGTGATATATTCTTTTATTCCATTACACATATTAAATATTAACTAGTGTCATAAGTTTATGCTCTAAAAATATCTGGAGGAATGTATTAGAATAGGGGAGATCACAGGCAAGAATAAGCTATGTGGCTCTCAGCCCCACACTGACCCTGGCCCCACGGAAGTCTCTTCTTTTCCCACTCCCCGCATGACTTTTTCTGGCACCTGTGCTTTATGTATTACAGACTTTTTTAAAAAGATTTATGTATTTATTTGAGAGATAGAGTTACAGACAGAGAGAGGGAGAGACAGAGAGAAAGGTCTTCCATCTGCTGGTTCACTCGCAAATGGCTGCAACAGCAGGAGCTGGGCAGATCCAAAGCCAAGAGCCAGGAGCTTCAACCAGATCTCCCACTTGGGCCATCTTCTACTGCTTTCCCAGGCCATAGCAGAGAGCTGGATCAGAAGTGGGGCAGCCGGGACTTGAACCAGCGCTCATTTGGGATGCTGGCACTGCAGGCGGCAGCTTGGCCCACTGCGCCATAGTGCTGGCCCCTATTACAACTCTGTCGCTCCCCGTCTTCATGGGGGAATGACACAGGACCCTGCGCTGTTCTTTCGTCTGTTCGGCCCTCCCCGGGTTTGCTGCTGGTTCTTCCCGGGTTGGCTACTGTCCCTTCCACCTCCGTGGAAGGGCAGTTCCCCCTGCCACATTCCCCACTTCCGCAGGGGAGCGGCACACCGCCGGCCGGCTCTCTCGGGGGCTGCACAGGCGTTCCCCTTAGATGTTCCTCGTGCATGCCGTCTCTCTCCTCCTTTATAGTCCTCCTCCGCCAATCCTAACTCGGCTGCCCACACGCCGAGTACGCTGCTCTCCAATCAGGAGCAAGTCCTACAGTTTATTGGCTGAACTGGAGGCAGCTGTGTAGAAACTGTTTTCTTCTCTCCCAGCGCCATATTGTGGGAGAGCAGATGCATAGAATAAGTCTTAATTCCAGTAACAGTCTAGTCCGGGTTGTTCCCCACACAACTCTTCTTAAATTGAGATAAAATCCACATGCTCTAAAATGCATCAGTATAAAGAGTACAGTTCAGTGGTGGTTAGTGCATTCAGAAGGCTGTGCAACAATCTGCATTATCTGGTTCCAGAACATTTTTATCACCCCAGAAAGAGGCACTGTGCCAGGAAGCCGTCACTGCCTGTCTCTCCCTCCACCCCGGCCCGGGGAACCACTGATCTGCTTTTTGTTCCTTTGGAATTGCCTGTTCTGGATATTTCATATAAATGCGTCACACAGTATGTGGCCTTCTGTGCCTGGCTTCTTTCACATAGCATGTTGTTTTCGAGGTTCATCCATGCTGTAACACACACCAGTGCTTTGTCCCTTCACGCTCGGTAATTCTCAGTGGTGCAGAGGGACCACGATACCGGCTCACCCAGTCATCATCTAACAGACGTGTGTTAGTTCCACGTCGGTGCTATCATGCACAATGCTGCTATGAGCATGCATGTGCACGTTTTTTGTGCAGTTGTGTTTTTATTCTTGAGTGTGTCCTAGGAGTCACACTGCGGGCTCATATGGTAACTCTGTGATCAACTTACTTGAGGAACCACCCATCTCTTTTCCACACTGGTTGCACTGTTTGACATTCCCACTTGTCAAGTAGTAAAGTTCCAATTTCTTCATGTCTTTGTCAACATTTGTCATCGTATGTCTTTTTGATTATAGCCATCCTAGTGAGTGGCTGAAGTAGTATCTCGTTGTGGTTTTGATTTGCATTCTCCTAATGACTTAAGACGTTGAGCATATTTTTATGGGCATGTTGGTCATTTATATCTTATTTAAATAAATGTTAATTCAAATCCTTTTTCCAATTTAAAATTGATCTATTGGCCGGCACCGCGGCTCACTAGGCTAATCCTCCGCCTTGCGGCGCCGGCACACCAGGTTCTAGTCCCGGTCAGGGCGCCAGATTCTGTCCCGGTTGCCCCTCTTCCAGGCCAGCTCTCTGCTGTGGCCA